ACCCCACTTACGGGCACAGGGCCACATGAAAGGACTCAAGAGGGACCCGATTCTGTCCCTCGTCTGGGCTTCCTGGCCTAGCGGGTCTGAGTCGAGGACAGGGAAGCCTCTCTTCCTCCCGTGGCCACGGCAGAGGGGAGCAGCGATGGGGCTTTGACCGATGGGCCGCTCTTGAATTCATTTTCAAGAATGACCTGGTCTAATCAGACTCCCTGGCCATGGAGACTGGACCAGTCGGTGGTGGGCCTGGAGCCACAAGTGCCCACTGGGGCCGCTTACAAGATGAGCAAGCCAAGGACAGAGTGACCTTGAGTGAGAGACTTAGCGGTGGCCGGCTGGCTCCTGGCTTACCCCGGGAAGGCCCCAGACGGCCGGCCATCCTGTCCTCGGGCTCTGTGAGGTCCAGCAGGACGACGAGGCAGCAAAGTTGCCTTTGTTGACCCCGAGAGCTCCACGAGCACTTGGCGGACGATTGGTTCCATTGGCGGAGACGGCCCCCGCCCATCTTCTCCAACGGGCTTTAGACTATTCAGCCCCCAACAATCGTGGATGACAGAGTTGGGGTCCCTTCTGGCGCTGCGAGAGCACGTGTGGCTGGAGAGGTTTCTAGAAGGTCTGATAGAAAGGAAAGGCCCACCGAATCACCGGCATTCCATCTGCCCGCATGCCCATCCATGTCCACATTCTCGGGCCGTGACCAGTGCTGGGGTCATTTGCCAAAAGATAAGGCAGGCAGTCCCACCGGACACAGGGTGGGTGAAATTGACTGTGCCAGCTCTGGGCAGAGGGGTGGCCAGGTGCCAAGGCAGGGCAGCCAACCCTGAGAACAGCTTGGACAAGGGCAGGGGGCGACGCTGGGCCTTTGCTGGGCGGGGATCAGCACAGAGGAAGTCCCCGGCCTGCAGCTCCCTGCCCACAGTCCTGGGTCCTGCGCTCGGGGCTCGGGGGCGTCCTCCCGTCTCTTTCCCACCCCTGCAAATGGGAGGCCGGGGACTCCAGAGCCTGCAAAGGCGGATGCATGTGAAGCAGAAGTGCCACCTGCTGGTGGAAGAGGGCACAGGCGCACAGAGACGGGCTGGGCGCCGTCTGGTTGCAGGAGTTCAGCCTCTCCCTTCACGGTCTGGACAGGGGTGGGGTGGGAGCGTCTTTTTTTTCCTGTGCATTCCTGTCAGTCCATGTGATTTACCTCATGCTCCCTCATCAACGCCCCCCACCCTGTCCCAGCGAATTCTAAAGGTCACATACGTAGAATGGCATTGTGCAGGCTGCTGGCTTGGGTACAATGTTTCCTTTTTCCGTTCTTTTTTTCCTTTTCCTTTTCTTTTCTCCTCAGCCGAGGACATGCTTATGCTTATTGATTTTAGAGAGAAGGGAAGGGAAGGGGAGAGAGAGAGGGAGAGAGGGAAACATTGATCTAAGAGAGAGACATCGATCAGTTGCCTCTTCCGCCACCCTGACCAGGGACCTGGCCCGCAGCCATGGCATGTGTCCTGACCCGTGATCAAACCCATGACCTTTCCATTTACAGGACGGTGCTGCAACCAACTGAGCCGCACCTGCCAGGGCAGGTGAAATGCTTCTGATTCCCGAGTGGGGCTGGCTGGTGGGAAGGGCGGGGGGCTCGCTGGAGCGGGGTGACTGGGGCGAGCCGGGCTTTGGGCCCAGGGTATGTGCCTGGAAACCAGCTCGCCCGCCCCGCGCTGTGTGCCCTTCGGCGAGCCGGTAACTCCGCTCCAGCCTCCTCGGCTGTGAGACGAGGGTGAACAGCAGCCACGTTCTTCTGTGCTGCTTTGTTTCAGGCGTGTCTCTGGTAAGCAGCATACAACTGGAATTTTTAAAAGCCACTCTGCAGAGATTAGTAATGAAGCAAATGTTAATTGTAGAATATAGGTAGTGGGTATATGGATGCAGACTGCACACTTCTTTCTGTTTTTCTGTATGTTCGAATTTTTTTTGTAATAAAATCTTGAGGGAGGAAAGTGAAGCAAAACCAAGTGGCCTGGGCGGTGTGTGTCTGTGTAAAACCGTAACAGGGCGGTCAGAGAAGAGTGGTGGAGAGGACTCCACGCCCAGACGCCGGCTCTGCCTCCCAGCCAGGGCACGCTCACGAAGCTCAGCCGTGGGCGTCCTGGGCGTTGCTAGGACCCGCCCAGCCCGGGCCTGGGGATGGTCCTTTTATTCTCGGGGCTTATTTTCCTGCCTGAGGGCCACGTGAGATGTGTTGTGCCACTGCTTACCAGCAGAGGGCGCACTACAACAGGCAAGCGCGCACAGCTTTCAAGCCTTCCTTTTGGAATATTTTTTTATAATGATGCAAAATTTAAGAGTTAGAGCAAGCTTCTTCATGCTGGCCCTACGATTCCAGGCTTCTGCATCTGCTTATGTATCCGTGTCTGCTGCTAGGCGTGGGGAGAGCTAGGCGTGGAATGGCAACGAGCTCCGAATTATCGGAGGTTGTATCCCCTCGCCCCCTTCTCCCTGCCCTGACGCCGGAGGATCAACAATCTGTGTGCGTGGTCCCAGCCCATCACCTGCCCTCCTTTATGCACAGGGGAAATGCGAGCGCGCACTCGCAGGCAGGGAGAACGCCATGTATAGGTGGCAGCGGCGATCAGGGCGATGAACCTACAAGCCGGGGAACACAAGAGATGGCCAGCCCATGCGCTGAGGCTGGGGACAGGCCTGGAACTGTCCCCTCCAGATCTCACAAGGAGCCAGCCGTGCCCATCTCTTGCTATCCTGGCCTGCAGACTGTGAGCAGCTACACGTTGCTGTCCTTAAAGCCCCGTCTGTGGCACTCTGCCAGGGCAGCCCGCGGAAACCAATACACCCACAACCGCCTCCTAAAGGAAGTGTCCCCGTCGCCGTGCATCCCCCCAGGAACAGGCTGCCCTGCTCAAGAAGCAGGGACATCCGGGGACTGTTAGCACAGCAGCGATGGCGTGATTCTTAGGAGACACATTTGTAACGGGTGGAGGTGGATGTCCCTGCCCCGCAGGCGGGAGCAGATGTCGGGGTGGGGCTGTGGGGCTGGGTGGCTGCCCAAAGGGGGCAGGACCCCCTCGGCGGGCGGCCATGAGGGGGGAGTCGCCCTCCCCCGCCCTCCCCCCGGCCTGTCAGACAAGGTAGAGCCCTGCTCCTCGCCTGCTCGCTGCCCAGATGTCCAGGGAGCATGGCATCCATTAGGAGCTAAGGAATCCACCGGCCGGCGCCCCCTCCCTGACATCACATCAAGGTCCCTAACCCCGCCCCCCCGCTGGGACAGGCCATAACTAGGCCGACTCTGGGTGTGAACCATGTTCCCAGTGGATCCCCTGCCCAAAGGCGTTGACACCGGGGAGCCCACGGGAGCCTGGATTGGGAGGGAGGCCATGAAGTCCGTCTTCAGAGCAGGCCTCTGTCTCGCCTTTACCTTTCTGGAATGTGCTCAGCTGACCCCTGTGACTCCCTGGCCTATGGTAGTGGCCAAGCTCTCTGGTTCAAGTCCTCGGCCTCCTCGGCCTGGCCCTGCCTGCGTCTCAGGCGATGGCCACAGGTCCCCCTGACACTCCGCGCTGAGTGGCCCCCAGGCCCTCCGCGTGCCAGCCACAGCCGATGACATCCCGGACGCTTCTCCCTCACGCCCGTGCTTGTGTTTCTGCGGCTGGAGTCCAGCCCCAGCCGATCCGCCTGGGAACCTGCCAGTCCTCAGGCTCGGGTTGACATTAGCCAGTGACAGGGTTCGAGCACGGGAAGAACAAGAGCTGTGTCTGGGGGCGAGGGAGGGCGAGCTAAGCGGCCAGCACCAGCATCTCTAGCTCTAGCATGGCTAACGACAAGCTGCCACCAAGAACTGCTGTTTGTCACTGGCCCTGTGCCTGTGGCCCCTGAAGAAACCCACATGGAGGAGGAAGAGGTAGCCGGACAGAATCCGGTCATCCTAGGCTGAGTGACCCCATCACCGTAGACATCCCCCCACCCTAACGAGTGTGAAACGCCTGCCTTCACCCCCCCTCTGGCAAATTCCAAGTCTCTCCAAGACTAGCAGACCACTGGTTGTCCCCCGATATGCCGTCGTCCGTATTTTACACCTTTGTGGAATCAGTTATTGCCCAGCCACGTGGGTAGCCTGCTCAGTTGCCCAGGCTCCACTGCAGCGAGTGGTGGTCACATGACTACATCCCCGCCAATGGGATGTGAGCAGAGAGGAAATGTACCCTTTCGGGGCCAGGTCCTACAGGCCGGGAGCCTGCAGCCGCCCCCTTTTTCCTCCCTGCTGGCCCGAACGTGACGGGACGGTGGCAGCTGCAGGAGCCTCCGGGGACCGCAGGTGGAGACCCAGAGCACCAGGGCAGCACTGCTCACCTTGGAATTTACAAGAACAAGACGTGAACTTGATTCGCTGAAGCCACCCTTGTTTAGGGTCTGTTTCCGGAAGCCGGGCGGGGTGGGGGCGGGGTAGGGGTGGGGGTGAGGCCGCCGAGAGCCAGACCCCCCGGATTCAACCCCAGGTCCAGCACTGCCCGTCAGCGGGCACTGCGGCAGGTCACCTAACACGTCTGTATCTCGGGCTCGTCACCTGGCGCGTGTGATTAATAAAAACACCCACCCCGGCCGCCGTGAGGATGAACTAGATGATTGCACACGAAGCCTATAGAATGGAGCGTTGCACGTAATTTAAGCTCATGGGTATTAGCTGTGGCAGCCGCCGAACCTGGAGTCTACATAACACATGGGCCCCCCTCTGTCCCTAGAAGCACCTTGGCAGGGCCGTGCCTGCTCCGCGCCGCACCCACGGCCCCCAGGCTGCTCTGGGGACATCCTCTGGGTGGCACCGAACAGAACTAATGCTGCTCATAGAAATACATGGGAGGGTTTAGTAAGTGTTTTGTCCACCGTGGAAAAATAAAGCTAAAGGGCACTTCTTGACCAAGTAGCGTAAATACTTTTTTAATAAATGTGACCCTTCAAGGTCACTGCGTTTTATACATACACAATTCAGAGAGGAAGTGTCTGCTTCATTATCGACTTCCTGTGTTAAATTGTGTGAAATAATCTTCAGTGGGTTGGTTTGTATAGACTTCCTTCATATGTTTTTTCCTGAGAATAAAACAAGGAGAGAACCATCCGCAAAAGCCTGGCTTCCTAGGCAGCCCACATCTTTTGTCTGAGTCGGGGCACCCCCAGAATGCGCTCGGCCCTCCGCTTGCGGCAGAGGGGCGACCCCTCGCTGCAGGGCAGTCAGGCTGCGGCCCTGCCGGCGAAGCTGGGGGTGTTTCCGAATGACATCTCCGCGGGTGTAGTAGAGACATCTGCTCATCCCATTTGATTTGTCAGATCATGTCTCAATGCTCCTTTCAGGCCCCAACAGAAGTGGCCAAGTGACAATGGACCCACTGGTGAACAGGGGTCAGATGTCTGACTGGAGAATAGGCAGGTGGGTCCCTTCTGTGTTCAAGCCAAGAGCTTGATGGATGGACACACAAGCCGGTACACAACGCGGGTTTCGGTGGCATATCCACCTCCTGGCCTGGCCTGTCGTGGGACGCTGAGCCGCCCCGGGGCGTCTGTGCGGAGGGAGACTCCCGGCTGAGAGCGGCGCCCTCCTCCTCCGCACGTCAGTCAGGCCCGCCGGGGCCTCCCCGACTCCGGTGCCCTCCGAGAACTGTGTCGCCAGTGTCCGTGCCTCAGCTGCTGGGATCCCCAGGGCCCAGGTAAGACCACCCACGGAGGGGTGTTCAGGGATGCAGGCACGATGGCATCTCTGTCACCTGGTCTGTGTGGGACCGGTCGTTTCCAAGCCCTTAATTTCTGGCTTCTTAGCTCTGGGCCCCTCTCCCCTTTCTGCTTGTGTCTTCACCAGAGGCCTGGCCCCGCAGGTGGGAAAGATTCGGGGCAGGGGGCAAGGAGAGCTGGAGCCTGCTCCATGGGCCCTGCTGGTGGGCACCCCCACTGCTCCCCCGGCTCCCGACCCTGACCCGGTCCCAGCCCCAGGTGCCTGGTCTCCCCGCCCCGCCCGGCCCCGCCCCGCCCCCTTCCGGCACTCACTGCAGAAGCCGCTCCGCAGCCAGGCCGAGGTTGCTGCCGTCCAGGGCTCTGCGCAGGTCGCGTTGCTGGCGCTGCCACAGGCGCTCAAACAGCAGAGCCCCGCGGGCGCCCTGGATCCTCTGCCGGTCCCAGTCCTGGTCTCGCTGGCGCTCTTCTTCCTGGAGCCTCTGGAGAGACGGGACGTGACTCATCCCCACCCGTCCCCACAGAAGGGCCCGGCGGACCCGGCGGGGAGAGCCAGCCTCTGGTTTTCCAGATGGAGAAACAGGCTCTGGTGGTGAGCCACGCCGTGCAGGGAATCAGAGGGGCCCCTGCTGCCCCTGGCTGAGCGCTGGGATCGCCTGGTCGCTTCTAGAACGTACTGTGTCATAGCCCCACTGGGGAGAATGGGCCCATGATCTCAGGGGTGAATTTCTGCATCTCAGCTCATTCCTTGCTCATTGCCTTCCAGACCCTTCTTTAAAAGCCACTGACTCCCTGGAGAGGAAACTGTATTAATGCGGATGGGAGAGGTCAGCCCCTAAACGCGGGCAGTTCCATCAGCCGTCCTGGGGTACGTTGTCAGCTCTACCATCTCCCACTGGGAAAAGGCGCGAGCGCGGAGGGGCTGGGCCTGAAGAGGGGCACCCGCCTTCCCTTCCGCGGGCTTCGGGGCGGGTCTCCCCCGGCCAGAGCAGCCGGGGTGGGCAAGCCGGCCGCTGGGGCCCAGGGACTGGCTGGTGCCTGGCTTTGCCGCCTGCAGGCCACGTGACATTGCCATCCTGGACCTGTTTCCTCCCCTGTAAAATGAGGCCACTCACAGGTCCCCGAGTTGTGACACACGCTGTCATCAAGAACACAGACGGTACGGGGGCACTCTGGCCCCAACTGAGAAAAGCGGCCTAACTATTCTTCGCCTTGGCTCCCCAGTTACCTGCACGCGTGTGAGAGGGGTGTGGGGAGCGCGGGGGGGGGGCGGCGTTCTGAGTGGTGCGCTTAATGAGGGGTTTCTTCCTTTTGTGCTTTTCTCAGTTTTTCACAAAAATTGAAAATGAGTCAAAATCCCTGCTTTCCAGACAGCAGCGCCACAGCCCCTGAGGGTCTCTCTTCTTCCCCCACATCCCCCTGGAGCCCCCCCCCCCCCCCCCGCCAAGGCACTGGCCAGGGGCGTCCCCCACGGCACACCCTCCAGTCCCCCGTGGCTGCCCCGGAGAAAGCCGAAGCCCTCCGCAGGCCCGCCAGGCGCCGGGCCCTCCGCCTCTCGGCCTCCGCGGCCGCCCCTCGCTCGCTCCAGCCACCAGGCCCTCGCTCTTCTCCCGGCAGGCCCAGTGGTCCTGCCCCCGCCCGGCCGGGCCATCCACCCTGCCTGGCTGTCCTCTCCCGTGTCTGCAGGGCTCGCTCCCTCCCCCATTCCGGCCTTTGTCCAACCTCCCTTCTCAGTCGCCTGGTGACCCTCCCCTCCCCAGCTTACTTTCCTCCCTAGCACTCACCCCCCGCCCCAGCTACATCACACATGAGCAGGATTACTTGGTCCTTGTCACTCCCCCCCAACTGGCCCGTGAACCCCTGGAGGGCAGCGTCCTGGCCAGTGTAGCCATGGCTGTGACTAGTGCCCCCCCCCCCCCCCCCCCCCGGGCAGGGGGCGGGAGGGGGGAGGAAGGGGGCAGGTGGAGGGTCAGCGGGCCCTGGGGGTGGGACAGGCACCAGCTTCTCCTGCACTTGCAGCTTCTGGACCCCGCGGATCTGCTCCAGCTGCTCCTGGGTCATGCCCTTCCAGCGGTCGGGGACCACGCGGTGGGGCCCAAAGGCGCTGGCTGCCTGCTGCGGGTTCTCGGAGAGCAGATCCCCGCGCAGCAGGTTGGCGATCTCGGCCACGTTGTCCTCGTGTTCTTGTTTTTTCTCTAGACTTTTCCTTTCTGCCGACTCCATGGCCTAGGCCGGGAAGACATTAGGGAAGGTGCTCTGAGTGACCCCAGGGAGACTAGGCCAAGGCCGCAAATTTCGCTGGAGGCGCTGAAGGGCACTGGGACCGGGGGCGGCGCGGGGCGGGCGGGGAGGACTCCGCAGGCTCAGGTGTGGGCTGCGCTGCGGGAACCGCCACCTGCTGGTTGTGCGCGGAGTTGCTGCAGGTCCTCCACCATTTTGCCAAAGCAGCGCTGCCTGCCTTGGCTTGGCCTCGCTCATCCGGCGGCAGGGCTCTGTGCCCCTCCGGGTGGCCCCGGTCACCCTTCCAGGGATGCAGGCCATGCAGAACACCCGAGAGTCATTCACAACACGGGCAGCTTAAAGGGGAAAACGCTGTCACCTCAGTGCTCTGGATGCATGTCAGCCACCGGCCCCCATTCAAGTAAATTCAAATCCCTGCGCCAGCGAGCGCGGTGAGTGGAGGGCCCGGCCCTGGCTGTGTGGCCCGGAGCAAGTTGCCGCCCTCTCTGCGCTGCCGTCATTTCTGTGCCAAGTCAGGAGCGGGGGTTAAGAGACATCCACCAGGGTTACCGGTTCTCCTGAGTCACCGACCGACGGGGCACTTTGCAAGGACCGGGCACATCGTGGGCGCTCACGCAGCGGCCGGCTCAACAGCATCACATTAGCACACGCTTTGCAGCTGGACAGGCCGGATTCAAACACTGGACTGGCAGCGTTTGGAAGCCCCATTTTTGAATTGGCCAAAGCAAATCGATTAGTACTCGGGTGTCCCTAGGAAAGTCTGTTCCCCGCTCTGAGCCTCTATCTTTATCAGTTAAATGGGGTGGCTATACCCCTCTGGTAGGGGGCTTGTTGAACATAGTAACAAGAGCAGCTCATTGTTGCTAGGATTAAAAACAGCGGCTATCACTCACAAGTCCTCCTAACGCGCCCTACGTTCCAACACGTGACATGCATTTCCTGGTTTCATCCCACAACCTCACCAGCAAGTGTGACCTGTTAGTGCTGGTCCCTAAACACGGCCAGCGCTCTCTCTGGGCACGCGGCAGAACGGCACTTCCTGCCCGCTTGGAGAGCGCGGGGCCACGCGGCGGAGGCGGCCCGGACACGTCTGGAAGGACGTGGTGGTGGTGTTGGGGTATCGGGCACCCGCCCTCTCTGTCGGGCTGCCAGAGCCCCCCAGCTGGTGGCGGCTCCAGAGTGAGGATGAGGAGGGGCAGAGCCCCTCCGCCAACCGAGGGACATGGAGCACAATGGCCACCACTTTGTACTTTACGCCACTGAGAGCTGGGAGGGGTTTCTCATTCTGACCGGCACGGGTAGGTGGCTTCACTACCCCGGTTCCCCGGATGACAAAACCGAGGCCCGGGGGTGGCTTTCCCAAGGCTACAGGGCGGAGCCTGGCCTAGCGCCTGTGCAGTTGGGCGGAACCCGGACGCCACAGCCACAGCCACAGCGCCTCCCTAACGACACCAGCAGAGGCTCCCTAGTGTGTCTCCGCCTGCTGCGTCGGAATGACCTGCCTGCGGTCTTCTTCCGAGGACAGCCATCCAGACCCTGCAGGAATGTCCCAGGCTACCTGACAACGCCTGTTGACAGCCCGGAGCAGCGCTGCCGGCTTCCCGCAGCGCGCGGGCGCTGGGGACGTGCTGCCTGGCAGCGCCCAGACGGAGAGTGGTGGGGGCTCGCTAAAAATTTTATGGAGTGAATGAATAAATCGATGCACGGAGCAACACGTTTTAGCAAAAAAAGGAAGAAGAAGGAGGAGGAGGGGGAGAAAAACCCACAAAAAACAAAAACCTGCCAGTGCCCAGCTGGAAGACTCAGTGAATACCTGTTAAGCTGAGGAATGAGCGAGGGAATAAATGAGCGGCTGGATGCCGGGCAATAACGGGCTAAGAATCCAGAGCCCTGTTCCGCGCTAGGCTTATCGGGGGATCTCTGTGGAAGCTGTACGCCTGTCTCACCACTACGCTGTACGCCAGAAACTAATGTAATAGTGAATGTCAACTACAATTGAAAATTTGTTTTAAATTTACATTTACAAAAGAACCCATTCTGCCACTAAGTTGCTGTGGGGTCTGGAGTAAGGACCTCCCCTCTCAAGTGTCCCCTGAACGAGGCAGGACAAGAGCCAAGTGACCGCCGAGGCCTCTTGCAGCTGGCTGGCCGGTGCCTGGGTCTCCAGCTGCCCCGCAGTCTGCCCGTGGGCCGCCCCTCCTCGTCCCCCTCCCTGCTGCTGGAAGCCGGCGTCCTCTGGCCTCTGATCCAGCCTCTCCAGGATCACATACCCCCGTCAGCAGGGCGCACGTGAGCTTGTGTCTCCGATATATTTGGCTTACAATGTGGTACCATTAGACCACAAAGATAGCATGCGCTTTCCTGATACGCACGCAGGTGCGCGCAGACACACGGGGACTAAAAGGAAAAGGTCAGGAACACATATGAGCACAGCTCTGGAATCGCCCTCCTGCTCTGCTACGGGCCACGCCACCGGCTCAGCCTTGCAGGCCACTGTCCTGGTCAACCAGCTGGTCCAAGAAATGAATGCAGGCCAAACCCCCACCCCACTGAGGACATATAACTGCAGTGAAAAGAAAACCTGGGGAAGGAGTCTAATTTCCAAAAGGAACAGAGAACTTGAAACGGGGCAGCGTGGGACAGGAGGGCAGGCAGGGAGGCACGTGTTTGTGAGGAGCCGCCGGGTTTCGGGAGGAGGGAGCTGTCAGGAGACCCCCAGACTTCACGCAGATCATCATCACAGTTGCTCCCGGCAGTGGGTGCTGTGGGCCTGCTCTTGGGGAGGAGGAACTTCCGGGGTGGGCTGGGCTGGGCTGGGGTGGACGTAAAGAAGACCTAAAACAAGGCCAGGCTCAGGGCAGAGCGAGCTGGTACCCGTCTGGGCAAACGTCGCTGTCCCCGGACCCGAGAAGAGCCTGAGGTCTGGAGAGGTGGCTGACAGCGCCTCCCCAGCTCACACGGCTGGCTTCCAGGTTCACGCCCAGATCACCAGCTCTGGGGCTCGGGCTCATCTGCTTCTGTGCCTGGGGACCCGCGGCCGGCCCTCCCCGCACCCCCATGCAGGCCCCTTCGGGGAGGGGTTCCTGATGTGGCAGAGCCCGGGGCCCAGGGGAGCCAGGGGCACAGGAGAAGCGGCGGGGTGCTCCTCCGCGCTCCCCCGCCCCCAGCCTGGGGAGTACCTGGCCCTTGTTGAATTCTTTCACAGCTGCGCAGGCCGCCCTCCTGGTGGTGCTTTCCAGGCCTTGGATGTGCTTGGCGGCCTCGTCCCACTGCAGCCTGGTCTGCGTGTGAAGGTCCTCTGGAAGGAAGCGGCCGCAGGCAACCCTTGGTTCCCGCCCAGAGTGCCCCCAGGGCACCAGTTCACCCTCGTCTTCGCATCCCACTCTCCTCCACAGCCTGGGGCGGCCTCGGAGGCTCCCGGGAGGCCTCAAGGAGCTAATTCAAGTAAAGCTCTCGGATCGGTGCCTGGCACGGAGCGTGCTGGAGCCATTGCTGCTGTGGATCGGTGACACCCGCTGTGGTCCTGGCACGCGCTGCACTGGGCTCCTCGCCCTCCCCGACCTCTCAGGCCACTGCACCCTCATAACCAGCAAGGGAGGGACGGTGGGAGCCCTGAAAAGGGGGAGCTCTGCCATGGGCACCAGATGGGGCTCCCCACGGGAAGGGGTGTCAGGTACCAGGTATCCTGGACTGGAATAGCAGTTTGCCAAGAGCAGGACCATGGGAAGGAGAAGGGGCCAAAAGTGGAGCAGCCAAACTGCAAAACATAAAGATTTGGAGAAACAGGGTCTCCTGGTGCAGCCGCACCGCCTCCCAGCTCTGATAACCTGGCCTGGTTAAGGCTCAGCCTTCCGAGCCGCTGCCCTGGCCTGTGAGGCGGGACAACGCCCCCTTCCCAGGGCTGTCACGTTGAAAAAGTCAGCAATCAGAAGGTCCTCCCGGTGGTGGTTGTGCCTGCGGGCCTGCTCTTCATCTCCCAAAACAAAGACCGATAGACGGGCGATATGTTATAGACCTGGACACGAAACCTCCATCGTTTGTTAACCAGTGTAATCCTAATCAATTCAATAAGAAAAGGGGGAAAAAAAAAAAAGAGACCTAACTCTTTGGTGGTGAATTCTGGCCTCTGCTCACCTTCAGCTTCCCCTCTCACCTTCCGTGAGTCTGTCCATTCATGTGACATAGAACTATCGAGAGCCTCCCGTGGGCCGGCCGCACACTCCGCTAGGAAGCCAGGGTGGAGTGGGGCCTTCCTGGAGCTGGCTGTCCGGGAGATGAGGCAGGCAACTAACAGACGCCGAACAGACGCATTATGCAGACTGCGACAGCGCTACAGAGGGACAGGCTGCTAAGAGGGAAAACGGGGCCGGGGAGGGGGGCGCCTTAGGGGGCTGGAGGTTGGGCGGCGGCCCACAGGGGCAGGGCCTCGTGGCCTCGGGCAGCCTTTGTGCTCTACTCTACATGCAGTGGGAAGCCACTGGGGGGCGCTGGGCCGGGGTGGAGGGAGTGGAGGGGCCTTGTTCACCGTGACGTTGTTTAGAAAGTGGCGCCCTGACTGCTGTGTTGGGCACGGAGCAGAGGGGCAAGGAAGGAAGAAAGCGCAAGACTGGTAGCGGGCCCTGGTGTGGTCCCTGCAGGTGAGAAAGGCGGCAGCTTGTGTCGCAGCGGTGGCAGGAGGGACGAGAGTCGGAAGTGCAGGCAGCAGGTAAGAAGGGGCAGGAGCTGAGCATGGCCTGGAGACGTGAGGGGCGCAAGGGGCACCCGCAGCTTTCTGCTTTGACTAAGGGAAGGAGGGGTCACTGAGTGAGGGAGGGAGCTGGGTGGGCCAGGGAGAAACCCTGGGTTCGTGTCCCAACATTTTGGGAGATGCCTGGGGAGACACTGGGGAGGCAGCTCAAGGACAAAGTCCAGGCTGAGACAAAGGCTCCCAGCTGGAGATGGAAAAGTGGGGCACCCGGGACACGGGCGAAACTGTTAAAGAAGGCGCTGAAATCTGCGTGTGTGTTTTGTTTCCGTACCTGCACACTTCTGGTCGGCCTGAGCAGCCTTCCATTCCCTTTGCTGTTGCAAGGACCATTCTCTGTTTTGTTCCTGTTGGAATTTCTTCCTCTCGTGGACGTTTAAATCCTCTCCCATGAACCTCTGCAATCCCGATACCGTGTTCCGAACATCACTATCTGACTGCCGGGCTGGAAGGTCTTTCTTAAGGGCTAGGGGGTCGGAGACGTCAAATTCTCGACGAGTTTCTGGCTTCTGAAAGTTCTGCTGGAAGTCGTTGACAGCTTTGCAGAGATTTTGCCTATCTCTTCTTTTCCGGTTTTCTAATAAGCATGTGATTTTGTCATTGTGCCTCATTTCAGCAGCTAGAAGGGACATAGATTATTCATGAGCTTAAGATTCAGAGGGAAAAATCAATTTGATTCCACTTAAAAAAATTATTTTTAGTGATTCTAAAAGTAACACAACCCTCCAAAAGGTAACATGACTATTGAAGGATAAGAATCCTGAATTTACAAAGCATACCTATAAATCAATTTTAAAAAAAAAACAACTCACAAAAAGTATGGGCAAAGGATAGATAGGAACAGACAATTAAAGAAACCTGAATAATCAATAAACTTATGAAAAGATGCTGAACCTTACAAGATGGTTAGAAACGTGCCATAACTTGGCAAAATATTAAAAATGCTAACAATAGCACGTATACAGATGTGGGAACATGAGATCACTCACTGTTTGTGGGCGTGTAACTTGGTACACCTATAACTTTGGAAAGTAATCTCCCAGCACCCCATAGAACTGAAAACGTGCATATCGTCTGACCTAGCAGTTTGACTTCTGCATATCCCTCACTCATGTGCGCAGGGACATAATGCAGGGTAGCCATTGCAGCACTGTTTGCAATTATTTTAAAAAATGGAAAATCTAAATCGGTCAGCAGTGGAGGACTGGATAAAGAAAGTATTTAATTCATATAACAAAATATCAGAAAACATTTTAACTGAATATTCTATGTGCACATCATTGATGAAATTTAAATTTACAACATTGAATTTTTTTAAAACTTGCAAAGGGTCGATTCAATGTTATACCATTTATGTAAAATTTTAAAACACACAAAGAAACTATTTTAGGTTGTCGTGGATACATACACACATGGTGCAAGTACAAAAACAGGCATGGGAACAGTGCACACCTCAGAAGAGGGAGGAAGAGGAAAATGGTGAGGTGGGAAATACACATATATTTTTAAAAAGCATTCTTAAAATACATCTAAAGCCAACTTGGCAAAATGTTAACATCTACTCTAGTGGTGGGTACATATGTATCTCTCATATCCTTTTTTGTAAGTTCAACTTATTTTTAAACTAAAAATTAAAAATGTAAAACATTTAGAAAATATAAAACAGTATAAAGAAAATAAAATTCACTCATAATTTCATCACGCCAACATTATCACTGCTAACATTTTGACATATTTCCTTTCTTTTTCTAAGCGTATCTTTCATATATTTTACAGCGCAATTGATAACCCATTGTACATAAAGTTTTGTACCCTGCTTTTCTCTATTATTTTTAAACAGGAGAAAATAGCCACATTTATCATGTATGTAGAGGTGGGGGTTCCGTAAGAATATGGGCTGCCTGCTTTTTTCTATTTTAAAAATCCTTATAATGCTCTAACAAAACAAGCTAAAATTGTTGCATATCATGTGGGAAAATGAATCCTATTTGAAAATTTTATCTAAGAGCTGGAACACTATTACCTGACCCATACCCAGTTCTGAGTCAGCTTGGAGGTGTGAGCTGGGAGTTTGCGTGTGTCATCTCGTGCAGAAGGCCGTCCCTGACTGAGAGTCTTGAGCTTTTTGGCAGAGAATGTGTATGTTCAAGGTTTTTCATATCCAGGTTGGGTTTGTTTGTTTTTTGTTTTTTGTTTTTGAAAACATACGTTTATCCTCAAAATATATTTCCTGGAACTCACATAGAATGGCTGATTTTCTTTTAACAAAGGAAGGGTGAGCACAAGGAATGGTGAGATTTTAAAAGGAGGAAGAGAGCAAAAATGACAAGCTTTTATTTATTTATTTTTAGAGAAGGGAAGGGAGGGAGAGAAACATCAATGTTTGGTTGCATCTCAAGCCACTGAGCCACACCAGCCAGGGCTAAAAATGACAAGTTTTTACATATGTGAAGAAAGGAGGATGGGAGTGCAGAGGCGCTCAGGCCTAAACCCCTAGGCAGGCGTTTAGGAAACGCTCACCGAATGTCTCATGTCTGGCTCTTTCAGTTGCTTCTTTTATCTTCTGGTCACGAACCTGAATATCCCAGGCGTTTGCATCTCCCTGGGATGGAAAACAAGGGTGGAGGAGTCAGAGCCAGCTAATTTCATTCCGTCATTAACAATCCTACTTATCTTTTTATCCTTGCCTCGCGGTCAATGCATTGTCTTAGGTTCACATCGGGTCTTTTCATACCTGAACACCTTCGCTTATAGTTGGTTCCTCAACCTGTCCTCTTCACTTTCCTCAGAGCCTCCTTGCTCCTTACCTTACTTAGTTAGCAGATACGCATCCTCACAACACTGCTTAGGCATCACCACCTCTGGGAAGCCCTCCTCGATTTCCTCTTCCAGCCCCAGGCTGTGCTCCCCTCCTTCCCTACATTTTCATGTGACCATTTTATTATCTGCCTCCTCCACTGAGCCACAAACCTTGAAGGTCAAGCATTGCCTTGACCTTCGCTTAGCTCCTGGGCACCAGCTCAGGCTCGCTACAAAACAGGAATTTTGTCAAATGCATGGGCTGTGAAGAAATGCGCTGGCAATGTAGAAAATCGAGCTCAGGGAGAGAACCCCATTCTCGTCTCCCGATGGCCACAAACTCCAGGCCGACTGACTCCCTCCCCGCTGCAGGACTCCATTTGCCTGTCTCGCAAATGAACGGGAGTTCTCATTTTCCTCTTTGGGTCCCTCTTACCCTCAGTAAAGTCAATATATCAAGCTAGTTTTCCCCGGAAACACCTGGTGCCGTCAGCGACTGCGCCTGGATCAAAAATTTAATTCGAGGGGTTCACCTCCTCTTCTCTCCCGGGCCCGCCTCTCATGCCCCACCTGCCCCTCCCCACTCCCTCGGAGCCCCTTTCCCTGCCAGGCCGAGGGTCTCACCCCGATGATCCTGTTCCTGGCGTTGAAGATCCGTTTCTGCCTGCACAGCTCCGCGTGTCTCCTCCTGGCCAAGGCACAGTGTCGTTCCAGGTCCTTGGGCTGCACTATCTCCATGACTGGGGTCCCCAAGGAATTCTAAGAAGTTCTGAAGCTCATGAGATAAAGAGGAGACAAAACAATAAGACAAGCGGCGGCCGGAGCGAGGCCGGCTCCCTAGGAGGTGGGCAGGTCGGGTACGAGCCCGCTCCCCAGGCTTTCAGTGCAGCCTCCTCCCACCCCGCCGAGCGGCAGAGATCAGGTTTCCTTGGAAACGTAAACAGCCCGGTTGCTATGGAACGGCGGAGCGCTCGCCGTGGTCTCGCCCTCCTCTCGCGAGACGTCACAAGGCCCTCTTCCCGCGCTTTTCCCGCCGGCGTGTGAGAACTCAGCTGAGGCGCGGAGAGCGCAGCCATGGGCCATTTGGAGCTACTGCTCGTGGAGAACTTCAAGTCGTGGCGGGGCCGCCAGGTCATCGGCCCTTTCAGGAGGTTCACCTGCATCATCGGCCCCAACGGCTCCGGTAACTGGAACCCAGAACGCCCCAGGCGGCCGGGCCTCATTTTGCCTGAGGGGCCTGGGGGGCGGCCGCAGGGCCTGGACTCGGGCACCTGCCGGCGGACCCTGGGCCTGACCCTCGACCTCCGCCCCCGCCCCGGGGTTCCGCGGGGCCCTGTCTGACCCTGCTGCTCCCGCCCTCGGGGGTTCGCCCTCTGCCCTCGACCCGTCACCTCTGCAGCCCCTTCGCTTTCTCCCCCAAAGACTGCGCGGGATGGGGCCTCGCGGGCGTCAGGCGCTAATGACGCTTCCCCGAGGTCCCGGCACCGCGTGTTTCTCCGTCCCTCGCCGGTGGGCGCTGTCGCCATTTTGTCGTGGAGGAGACGGAGGTTGGGGCCGCCTACCCCGGGGCGCCCGGGCAGTGGCGGACGTCGCCTTGGACCTTCCCGTCCGAGGTCGGAGACCGTGCTTGAGCGGACCAGCGGCCGTCACCTCGATAAAGGGACGCGCCTGGCCGCGGGGACGGGGACCCGGCGGGAGGGGCGGCGCGCGCACGTGGAAGGACGGCCGCCCTGGGCGCGGTACCGGCGGCGTTTCCGCCCTGACCGCCGGCGCGACAGTGACTGTCACCTCCTGACGGGTGGCAGACGGTGACTGGGGCGCGGGCGCGACCTTCAGGCCACCTCGCTCCGCGCCCTTATCGTTCAGGGCCCGGGGAGAGGCGTGCTTTGCACTTTTTAAACTAGTTCCCAAGTAACTTTGTCACTTCTGTTACTGCGAAAACACACGTGGTGCCCTCAGAACGTGTCGTCAGGTTACTGTGACAACCCCGTCCCGAGTTGTCGCGCGTCCCCTTCCGAGAGCCACGGGCTGCCCCCGCGTCCCCACAGCGACGGGCGCGTGCGCGGCGCTCCGCGCAGACCCGTCTCGGCGCCGGCCCGCAGGCGGCGCTTGTCGCGTTCCGCTCTCGCCGGGACGCCCTCGCGGCCGTGTCCCGGTGCGCGCGGGGCGGCGTTCGCGGAGCGTGGCGGGCGCTCCCGGAGTCCGGGTCGCCGGCCCGCGTCGGGAGGCGGCCAGCGGCTTGCCGTGGTCCCGTGCCCGCCCGGCGGCCGGGCAGCGCTGGGGGCAGCGCTCCTCGCCCGGGCCCCTACGTCAGCGCCGCTGCCTGGCCCGGACCCGGGACCGCCAGGCTCGTCCGTCGGGGCGCGCGCCCCGGGAGCGCAGGCGAGGCCGCCCGGGTCGACGCCCGGCCGGGCTGCGTTTCGCCCCCACGGGCGGCCTGGTGGCTGCTTTGGCTCGGGGCACGGCTGTTGATTTTTTAATTTTTTTTTTTTTAATCATGAAGAAGGAATAACTCCAGCGTCTCCGCTCCCCTCCCGCCGCCTTGTCCGCAGGAAAATCTAATGTCATGGACGCACTTAGCTTCGTGATGGCGGAGAAAACGGTGAATTTGCGAGTGAAGCACATTCAAGAGCTCATTCACGGAGCGCACGTCGGGAAGCCTGTGTCGTCCTCCGCGAGCGTGAAAATTGTCTACGTGGAGGACAGCGGGGAGGAGAAGACGTTTACGAGGATCATTCGAGGTCTGTGTGCGCGGAGGCGGGCGGAGGGGGCGCTCGCCGCTCCCCGGTCCCGCGGGGCCGCCGCCGGAGCGCGCGCTCCCCCTGGCGGGCGGCCGGGGCCGCGGCGGGGACGCCTCCTGTGCCGCCGGCGGCGACCTGCGAGACGTGCCAGCGTTTGCGCGTCGTGGTTGATGCCGGAGGCCCTGTTTCCTGAGTGGACAAGGCCGGCGTTGTTGACTGGTGTCTTTTTCCGCTGTGCTAGGAGTTTACGGAGCCTCGTAAGGTGGGCGGTTCTTGGTTTTGTTCTTCGGTGATGCTGTTTCCAACCTGGCCCGTTGGAACACTGTTCCTATTCCAAGGTGTAGACGCTGTTTTAGTCACTTCCCCCCCAGTTCCGTCACAGGTAACTGTAGAAGTACTCGCGGACTTGTGCCTTCGTGCGTAGTTTAAGTATTTCACCGCTTCGTTACCTAGCCATCTCCATTGATTTCCTCAGTTTCTTTCAGTTTTTATTCAGAAGTCTCCATCTCACCAAGGATTCCGCAGCCTCCTCGACCTATTTAATAACCCGTCATAAGTTCTTTTCTATATTAATGTATAATGTATAATGTAAGGCACACAATGTGATGTTTTAGAATACATTGTGAAATGGGGACAGTCAACCTGGGTAGCAGACGAATGGCCGCCTCTGGCTCCCGTCTGTGCCTGCGCGGGCGGTGAGGACCCTGGAGACCCACCCCCTGAGTGGACTCCACGCGGACAGTGAGCTGGCGTTGGCCACAGTCCCCTGGCTCTGGGTGGGTCCCCAGGGCTTCGCGTCTTGAGCAACGGAAACTTCGCGCCCCTTGGCCGTGTCCCCGTCGCCGCCAGCCCCTAGCAATCGCCGTTCTGCGCAGCCGGCTGTGAGTTTCGGCTGTTTCACATCCCACACCTACGCGGGTCACGCGGGCTTGTCCCTCGGTGCATGGCTCCCGTCACTTAGCACAGCATCCTCCAGGTTCATCCATGACGCTGCGAATGACAGGACTTCTTTCTTTTTGCGGCCGAATAATATTCCCATGCTTGCTTTTTTTATTTATCCATTGACGGACGTTTAGCTAGTCCTTAGCTATTGTTAGTAATGCTTCAGTGAACCCAGGAGCACAGGTGTCTCTTCGAGATGCCGATGTCATTTTCTCTGAGTGTGTGCTCTGCCTGCGGCCCCCCCACCGGGAACGCGCCAGTCTCGTCTGACTGTACCCAGAAGGGGTTGCTAGATGGATCACAGGGTAGTTCTGTTTTTAATCTTCAAGAACCTTCTTGTTATCTATAATGCCTGTACCAACTTACATTCCTACAACAATGTATAAAGTTTCCCTTCACATCCGCACCAACGCTTGCCATTGTGTCTTTTTGATTCTAATAGATGTGAGGTAATACCTTGTTGTGGTTTTGATTTGCATTTTCCTGGTATTTCCTAATGCTGAATACCTTTTCATATACTTCGCCATTTGTATGTCATCTTGTGAGAAATATCTATTCAGGTTATTTTCCCATATTGAATTGGATTATAGTATTTGGTTTTCTGGTATTGGGTTAGATGAGTTCCCTATATATTTTGGATAGTAACCCCTTGTCAGATATGTGGTTCCACCATCATGACCTAATCACTTCCTAAAGGCCCTGCCTACCAAGACCATCGTCCGTCGGGGGCGCAGGCGAGGCCGCCCGGGTCGACCCTGGGGGGTTAGGATTTCAATATGAATTTGGGAGGGGGGACGCATTCAGATCACCGTTCTATTAAAATTGCAATGCTTGTTCCTGGTGCACAGAAACTTTCATATCCCCTTTCCCAACTCTATTTTACTTACTCCTTAACACTTAACACTTTCTCACATATTTATTTTATTTACATATGCCATTTTTGTCTGTCTCCATTATTGGGATATAAACCCCTTGAGATCAGACTTTTGTTTGTCGCTGTAGAATACTCCTTGGCATGTAGTATATTTGTCAACTGACTAAATGCATTTATTAACATGTATACTATTGCGTAACTGGCCATTTCAGTAAGAAAAATAATTTTATAAAACTTTGAATAGTTGTTGATATACATCTGGTATTTATACTTCCTATGTGCCTTTATTTCATTTTAGGGGGATGCTCAGAATTTCGGTTTGATGATAATCCTGTGAGTCGTTCTGCTTATATAATAGAGTTGGAAAAGATAGGTATAATAGTCAAAGCACGGAACTGTCTAGTTTTTCAGGTAAGTAGTTGTAAAGGTTATTTGATTCATGATTTTGAAAATATATCACTATAATTTATATGTTGGTGTGCTTTACTATTTTTAAAAGGGAACTGTAGAGTCGATTTCAATGAAAAAACCCAAGGAAAGAACCCAGTTTTTTGAGGAAATCAGTACTTCAGGAGAGCTTATAGGAGAATATGAGGAAAAGAAAAGAAAGTTACAGAGAGCTGAAGAGGATGCACAGTTTAATTTTAATAAGAAAAGAAACATAGCTGCAGAGCGCAAACAGGCAAAATTAGAGAAAGAAGAGGTAAGGTATCATGAAGATATAACCAATTAAATGTTGGATACAAGAACTGTTAAATTGCTAGATATTGACTTGGGGTTACTAATAAGATTCTTTTAATGATGTAAGATAAATAAAGTCCAAAATTCTTTAAAGAGAAACTTTTTGATATGTTTTTCACCATTTGGGGTTTTATTTCCCCAAACAGGTAAGACAACCTGAACTACAAAAATGATTCTTCTCCCAACTAAATATAAGCCTGAAGGGTATACGCCGTTTATGGCAGAGGTTCTCAAAATTTTGGTTCTTATCCCCTTACACTCTTAAAAATTACTGGGGACCACAAAGAATTTCTGTTCATGTGGGTTATATCCACCAATATTTATTGTATTTGAAATTAAAACTCAGAAATTTTTAAAATATATTTTAATGATAAGTGTAAAAATAATAAACTCATTACATGTTAGCATAAATAACACTTTTATGAAAAACTTCATTTTTTCTAAAAGTA